GGAGATGCCACCACTTGCCGATGGAGAGCTGCAATTTTTTTGACTTATACTCGGCACACATTGAGCAGAGAGGGGTCTTTTTCGAGCCAGCACCTACTGCGACCAGGGACCTTCGTTTATACGGTCTCATCCGAAGGACCGGTCTCCAAGTCTTTCGGTGGGATTCGAACCTGGATTCGATGTGTGTAACCTTGCCCACTTTCCAAGTTATACTTATATTATAATGCTTCTTGATTGAGGTATGTGAGAAGCAAATGTATAAGTGGATTTAGTGATCCTACAGAGTCAAAGCGGTATGGTTTGTTCTACTGTAAATCACTTTTTATAAGAAATTTATTTCCGCGTAACTAAGCGAGACAGTGTGATCGCGAAAACTTCTCTCTCGCACATATATAAGTACTCTTTATAGTTTTAAAAGACAACCACAATTCGTAAAATTTTTTTGTCATGCTAATAAATAGTTACATATAATGACTATCTCGCGAAAATAAAGTGTCTCGAAAATTAAGTGATCTACAGTAATTTGAAAATATTTTGAATGATATGTGAAATCTTGTTAGATTAATCGTTTTCCTCACAGACTTCGTCCTTATCTAGATGAAGGCATGGAGCTTGTACATTCAGTATCTAAGATAAAAAGATGTTTTAGGAGGAAAATGACATTCTCAACAATTTGAGAGAAAATGAATAACGCACCCATTGAGGAAAATGAAATTATCTTAATTTTGGTATAAATATTGACATAACTTGATCAAAATATCATCAAACGATTACGACATCACAACCAATTCATGAATAAAGTGGACAGCGTTTCTCGACATAATGAAATTTAATTGTAGTAAAATAACAAATACAATCTGAATTGGTGATGAGAAAGTTAATGGAGCTTTACTTTGAAGGTATTTCACAAATATACACTGTAGATTTTGGTTCACAATATTCATCTTGTAAAATAGGAAAAGACTATTCAAGCCCATATCAACAATTTATCATCGATAGTATAATGTCTAAGTGTAGGCCGGTTAATCTATCAGATTCAGAAATTACATTTACTACAGGAAAATTAGTAACAGATTTATACACATCGGGTATTGAGTTTAAAAAAAATCAGTTGACTTTTTTTCACAGATTGAGCAGGAGTAAATTCTGAAAAAAAAGTTTAATAGCTAGGTTGCTTTTTAATATTTTTTATTATATATACGAGTATATATTTTTTGTATATGGCTAAAACCCCATTTCAAAATTCCATGTACATACAATAAAATAAGTTCAATGATGTTCAAAAATGTGAATATATGTATAGTTCCTGTAGTATGTGATGTAACAGATTGGTGTATTTCATACTTAATAGAACTCGTTCATAATTTACGTGTGTATTTGGCCTTTTTTTCCCAAAAATGTGTATGCACTAGTATTACACAGATCTGTGTTAGAGGGAAAATTGGATACCTCAACATCCATCCACGTCCGTAAAATATTCAATGTGCCAACAATTTCCAATAATCTATTTCCACTCTTTATCTTGCTTAGTCAAACAGTCATCACGCAAATTGACTTTCACTATACTGTATAACTGTACAACTTCCCACAAACAAAAGAAATTAGCAAGCTTCATATATTACGCATATAAAAATCATCCTGTGTATACTCTCATTTACTAATCATTCCGGACACAAAAGTAAAAGACGAGAAGTAATATTAATCTATGCAGTGGGTCACTTCTGTAGCAGTGGGGAGATCTTATCTAAATTAAGCTTTACACATATTAGAGATATGCCCCCTGAGTTATCAATCAGCCTGAGTCAGTTGCACACATACACATGTATTGTAAACAAAACAGCTAGACTAGACATGAGGTTTTGTTCTCTGTATTCCAAAATGACTTTAAATTTTATAGTAGATCTGCTTATTAAGCCCATTATTTTATTGTCTAAATATACTGTATCAAAACTTTTTGTTTTTAATCACCAGAATACCATCATGTTTTCTCATCATATTGCAGACGCTTTGTTAGAAGGGAATTTCCTGTCTTAAAATAAGAATACATGCACAATGTATGAATACATATCGGAGTCGGTATGATTATTTTGGTGACAGATGCTTAAGAGAATTAAAATGACAGACTAAAATTGAATACAGAGTGATTGTGGACTATATCGTCAAGAATGATAATTTCTTTATTTTAAGTTTAATGGGGAACTATTTTCTTATTCGCAATGACCATTTTCCTTGGCGGCTGTTTGTCAGTTGCACTTCCTGTCTTGGCCCACTGACATAGACTCGTTGATATAATCAACTCCCAAAAATGATATATATTATGGTGAATGAAAGGAAGGTAGACTTTTTGTTAGATTGTTTTTAAATATTATTAAATAACAGTTTTCATTTGTGCATTTCGAGGAAATGCATGATTGGGGGGGGGGGGCATACTGCATCTGTATTTAATTTAATTTCTAATTTTAAGAATCCATTTTAGTGTTATTAGGAAAGAAAAGAATTGCTTTCAAAAAGTAATGAACGCCTTTAAATGGAAATTCAAAATATGTTTATACATGCAGTACGTATATATACATGTACACAAAATGCCTTTGAAGTTGTCTACCATCATAGCAAAACTATAGGTTAAAAAACTGGAATCCATCCCCCCTCTCTCCTTTCATGGGGGGGGGGGTGTTGACCCATAATATATACAGTCTATAAATCAGCACAGTTCCCTCAGCTATCGCATTTCCACTGTAATCTCACATGTGGGCGCGGTTCACGTGCACAAGCGGCACTTACACGTCTATCATCATGTAAATTATAAGAATTTTCTGTCTAACAGTGGTCTTCTAGCTGATGTTTTCATAACTTCCATCATTAGAAGAGTGTTAAAGAGAAATTTATTTTTTTCTCACTATTTTGGGACCTTTGTGGCAAGTGGATTGTTGTGTGAATTCCGACCTGTACATGTCTTATGCAAGGTATTGAATACTGATCGAGGGAGTCTTGCATCAGACATCCAGAGGAATACACAATTTAAATCTTCGGCTTGCAATGGCGATTGATGAATAAATGTACTTATCATCTATTAGAAGCAAAGAAATATTTTCATAGTATCATTTAAAAACTGACAAATATCCCATCTAGAAGCTGAACAGTCTATGTCATAAATTTTCGTCGAGAACGATGAAGAACAATGCAGTCTATAAATAGATCGAGGTCGTGTGTGTGTGTGGAAGCACGCCCTCTGGTTGGAGAAAATGGTGCAAATCTTTTTCCCAGAATTCCGATTAACGCAAGCGCACTTGCAGTTTCATCCGAACGTAACTAGTCAGCCCGGGGGCTGACTAATAACTTTGTACACAGGCAGACTACACCAAGATACATAATTCTGTGCATCGGTTTTTGATTTCGATGAACGGTGTTGCCATGCTTACTAAAAATAGAAATTTCTGTGAAATTCTTTCAAAATGCTACTCCTCTTACAGTTTTGGTCTGATTTCATTGTAACTTGGCACACAAGTAGACTACACTAAGATACATAATTCTGTGCATCAGTTTTTGATTTCGATGAACGGTGTTGCCATGGTTACTAAAAATAGAAATTTCTGTGAAATTCTTTCAAAATGCTACTCTTGTACAGTAATATAACTTGGCACACAAAGACTACACTAAGATACATAATTCTGTGCATCAGTTTTCGATTTCAATGAGCGGTGTTTCATGGTTACTAAAAATAGAAATTTCTGTGAAATTCTATCAAAATGCTACTCCTCGTACAGTTTTGGTCCGATTTCAATATAACTTGGCACACAAGTAGTCTACAGTGAGATACATAATTCTGTGCATCAGTTTTTGATTTCGATGAGCAGTGTTGCCGTTGTTACTAAAAATAGAAATTTCTGTGAAATTCTTTCAAAATGCTACTCCTCCTACAGTTTTGGTCTGATTTCATTATATCTTAGCACACAAGGAGATAACACTAAGATACATAATTCTGTGCATCTTGTTTTCGATTTCGATGAACGGTGTTGCCATGATTACTAAAAATAGAAATTTCTGTGAAATTCTTTCAAAACGCTACTCCTCCTACAGTTTTGGTCCGATTTCATTATAACTTGGCACAAAAGTAGACTACACTAAGATACATAGTTCTGAAAATCAGTTTTTTGATTTCGATGAGCAGTGTTGCCGTGGTTACTAAAAATAGAAATTTCTGTGAAATTCTTTCAAAATGCTATGCCTCCTACAGTTTTGGTCTTATTTAAATTTAAGCTTGGCACACAAGTAGACTACACTAAGATACATAATTCTGTGCATCGGTTTTTGATTTCGATGAGCAGTGTTGCTATGGTTACTAAAAATAGAAATTTCTGAGAAATTCTTTCAAAATGCTACTCCTCCTACAGTTTTGGTCTGATTTCAGTATAACTTTCCACTCAAGTAGACTACACTAAGATACACAATTCTGTGTATCGGTTTTTGACTTCGATGAAAATATTGCTCTGGTTACTAAAAATAGAAATTTCTGTTCAATATTCTCAAAATGCTATTCCAAATACAGTTTTAGTCTGATTTTAATATAATGTGGAATGCAAGTAGACTACACTAAGAACATAAAGAGACTTATAATCAAGGATCATTAATTTATTTATTGCTGTTGTCAAGTTTCAAATTGCAACTGCTTAAGTACTTTTCTCTTCCTTTGCTATAAGTACAAACCAGTAGAGCTTCAGTCTCGACAGAGACTTTTGGTTTAACGTCATTTTGAGCAGACAACGTGAAATTATAATCTCAAATATCACTATGATCTGATATTTTTTTGTGTAGAGTGCCATATGCAGACAGAATAAGATTTAAAAGTTGAACTGCATAAGTTACAGTAATGGAAATAAATATAGTGGATGTACATGTACAACTTATGAAAATGCAGTGCATTGTGTTTTCGGTGATGAACAGTTTTGGATTTGTGTTATAGTATGGACTTATAGCTGTATATGGCGAACCGTCTCCTGTTATCTTTCCTTTAGGGGGCGCCACAGGAAAACTCGGTCCTGAATCGGAATACCCTCGCGCTTTATCTATAGTGAGTTATCAATAAAACGTAAACAAACCGCTGTCAAACACGTTGTGAAATCATGCCTGAAACTTGTTGTTGTGTGCCGGAATGTAGTAACCGGGGTGGTCACGTATTTCCATCAGACCCATTAAGAAAAATATCTTGGATACACGCAATTAAACGGGGAGAAACTCGTTTTCAGAGCTGGGAACCGTCCACTCATGCTGTTGTATGTCGTGCACATTTCAAAGAAGAAGACTACGTAACTGAAACCTCTCATGGTATTTATTTAATTATTTTTACTTTTATTTAAACATTTTACTTATTAAAGCTATCTTTTATTTCCCTTGTAAGTTAAAAACATGTAATCGCGATAAATCAACAAATTATATTCAACGTGTCAATTAGTATATGCGATAATGGTACAAAGAGATGTACAGCCACAAGGCGTGACCCCCGCTGACTTATTTTGATTACCCTGCTAAAACCACGAATTCAACATGCAAGATACATGTCTAAAAGGCATCATGCTGCTTTTGTTAATTGCCCGATGCATATCTAAGAAGATTTTGTCTTTGTTTACTCTACTAAAAGCAGATACTATTTCTAATCACACTGTGAAAATATGTAACAGAATCGTCATAAACTGATTAATGAATTAGGGTAACATGACTGTGTTTTAAGACTGCTGCTGATAAAAATGATTGTTTTGATTAAATAACAAGGTGAATCCATTGTTTATAATATTTTAACCCCCAAAAATGTATAATAAAAGTAAAGAAATACTTAACTTTCTTTTTTTTTTAAAGTATGAACTTATATTTTAAGGAACAACACCACTGAATAAAAGATTGAAGAAAAATGCCATTCCAAGTGTATTCTCCTGGGTTGAACCTAGTCCCCATTCAGCAGCCAGAGCAAATAGAGCAAAGTCTCGGGGCGTCAAAAGAAAACTGGCAGAAGAGTTTTCAGCATCAAATGATTCGGAACTTATATATTGCACCGAATCCGATGATCTACAAACTGTGGAGGAAATTGTTTCAGACTCAAGTGTGATACCCGAGGAGTCAATTGTACAAGATCCAAACATTTATTTTCGTAATGTTCAGACACAGAGAGTTATGTCCAAGACACGATGTAGAATCGATATCGACAGAAATTTGTCATAATTTAAGACTTGGCTTACCTATGTGTACCTTTCAATTCGATATCGATTCGATATCGACACAACCTTGTAATTACTTTTTGTTATATGATATATATCATTTCTTGTTATATTATTTGTAAAACATTAAGTGACTTTAAATCTCTGTCGATATCGTCGATATCGACGATATCGAGTCGATATCGAAAGAATCTTTTAGTGTTACATTTGTGTTAGATTGGAAACTATTGTGACATCAAGTGACCTTATATATCTGTCGATATCGACGATATCGATTCGACATCGACTTATGCATTATATGCTTTTTTTAGAATGAGACCTTTAGTGGCTTAAAATATATGTCGATATCGACGATATCGATTCGATATCGACACAACCCTCGAAGTATTGTAATAGATAGCAAGTTTATTGTGACATCAAGTGGCCTTACATATCTGTCGATATCGTCGATATCGACTCGATATCGATCCAAACCCTTTACTTTTTGATTTGGTTAGGAACTTTAAAGTGGCATTACTTATGTGTCGATATCGTCGATATCGACGATATCGAGTCGATATCGACATAACCAAAAAAATCTATTTTTAATCAGAACAATAAGCTTATTCCTGTGTTTTGATATCAACTTTATAGATTCAATCTAGACACTACATTGGAAACATTTGTTCTGAAATGAAGCCATAAATGCCAAAGACCAAAATGATAATTGAGAGGTTATTGAAGATAGACCGTTTTAGTTAAAAACTCTCATTATAAACCTTATTTTTTTTTACATATATATATATGGTAATTAGCTCATTTTTAATTATTATTAATTATTATAATAAATCAATTTGCCCTGTAGAAAAGTAGTTCTCCATTTAATTTTGAGAGATAAATTATATCTAAAAAATTCATGATTAAGTAATTTGTTGCATTTCTTAAAAGTTAAAAGTTTCATTTCAAATTAAAGATAGAAGACACTTTTCAATTCGAATGTTTTTAATTTAACTGAAATTTGTTACATGATTTTTTGTTTTTTGGATTGACACAAATAATTTTCAGTGTTCTCAAATTGCGATTGGTATTCTTCGAATTTAATACTGAATCTTAGCAATTTCTCTCCGAACTCCATTGCTTTTTCCAAATCAAAATCTGTGACGTTTGTTTTGTCGAAGACAAGTGTGACTCTCCCACCTCCAATTGGCCGTTCGTTGTTTACACCGCCAAAACCCGTGTCTGCTAGCTCCTTCATGTGTTGTTTAATGGTATCGGCGCTAGACCTAGAGCATCGTGCAACGTCTTGGCATCTAACAGCTTTACCGGGCCAGAGAAGGATTTTCTTCACCAGGGCTGCGTTCAGCAAGTCAGGTTTGCTGTCGTTTTCTTTACTATATCCAGCAAGAATTTTCTTCTGGTGCAGGAAATAGTCATTTAAAACAATGCTCTGTTTGGTGGATGACTCAGAGATAATCTTGTCCAGGGTCTTCTGTCGCAGATACTCATCCAGTTTTCTTATGAAGTCCTCGTTGATCCTGTCCGAGTTTGCCTCATCAATTTCATGAAGAACAACTTGCGCTTTGGATATTGCCTCAATTATCATTGCCAATCTGTGGACTTGGCCTTTGGCTTTGCCAATCAGTCCTGTAAATTTTAAACAGTGTTTTATAATTCCCGATCTTCCCAATTACAATGTATTGTACGTACTGTATGTATATAACTATCATGTTTTTAATTACGACTTTAAAGAAAATTACCTGACAAGAATGTATCATTTTGATGGTTTGTTTTGAGGAAGGTTTGTTGGTCATTGTAATACTGCAATAGCTAGAGCTGGTGTTCCGTAGCTGTACAAACACGTTCCGACATTCATTTTCTCAACTGCATAGAACAACCTGAAATAAAATGAGAAATGAGAAAAAAAAGCATAAACCCTTTGTGAATAAAATGGACAAATAGGCACATTGATATATGATTTCCATGGGTAATTTTATGCATCAGTTATACTAAAAAGGAAGTAGTGTGGTCTAAGTGAATATCAAGTAATAATGGATTACGGGTTGTATTACTACACGTAAAAGATATAATTTATAATAGTACTTTGCCAAGCTGGGTAGGTCCTGTCTATAGCATTGAAATTCATTGCAATTTTTTTTTAAATTCGGCAACGGTTTTCCATATTTCACGTTATATTTTACGCTATGATTATGACGTCATACATACATATACAGATCAACATCATGAGGCAGTATTATCTTAAAATTCTACAAATTATTAATTCCAGAAAATAAATAATAAAATAAATCGTTTTATTATACAAATAGTTTTACCCATGACATACTATTTATGCTTTTCATTTTTTTTTTATTTTGGCAAATGTCGCTATCGAAGTCATAATTATGACAGCGTCGGCTTACATAACAGGCTTATGTTTTGATTAAGGTCGATATCGACGTCGATATCGACATTCAATTTTCGATATCGTCGATATCGACATCACATTAGAGTCAATCATAGTTTTTGTCGATATCGACATCACATTAGAGTCAATTATAGTTTTCGTCGATATCGACGTCGATATCGACATTCAATTTTCGATATCGTTGATATCGACATTGCATATGAATCAATTAAAGTTTTTGACGATATCGACACCACTAGGGCTGTCACGGGTACCCGAAATGACCCGGAACCGCGGAACAATTAATTCGGGTCGGGTACGGTTCCGTTTTTCTGGAATTCGGTTCGGTTCCGATTTGTATAATAGAGTAGATTTTACTATAAAATGGCGTCAAAAACGAGAGTTTTGTTAGTAAATTGTCATTAAAAGGCAGGGTTTCAGATGGGCGTCGGCCATTTGCCAATAAAAGTTTACCTGCCATGTTGGCCTATAAGTTTGACACTGAACAGACACAATGGCCGATTATCTTCTGTATGTAAAGGCCAGTCGTATAATTTTTCCTCCATTCAGATCCGATTGTTTTTCTCTACTTTCTGCAACTGCCGATTCAATCAGCCAATGACATTTTGGTATAAATTAATAGATCTTGACAAAATACTCTATAATTTTATTTCCAAACCCAACTGCAAGGAGCATAAAGTAGTGATGAATGTTTAAAACATCGTAGGAATCCATGCCATGTTGTTATTTTTACCGCCATGATTGAATATGGGGTCGGACTAATAGCAGGAAACGGACAAAGTTGCAAGGTTTTACTAAGGAGAAAAAATAGTCTAGGTAATCTTTAAACGTAATTGTACATTGAATATCATCAGAGATACAAGTTTAATTTTTAAATTACTATTTTTAAAAATTGTAATCCCAAGAAATAAATACATTTACATGTAATGAAAGGTGGGACTAATATAAGTTAAATACCCATTGAATGGAATTAAAAAAAAAAAATTCCCATTCTGTTTCAATATGTTAATTTTTTTTTAAAGAAACAAAATAATATTTCCATCTTATTAAAAGGAAGATTAATATACATGTTTGAATATTTTATGTAATAAAATGACTATTTTGTAAAAGTCCGACAGAAATTTGAGTTAGTTTAACTTTTCTATTGGCCTAAATAATTTTAGGAAGTTTAGGACAGAATGGCCTATATATAACTTTTTTTGGTAAATATGCCAGATGTCCTATAGTTACTTATTTCAATCTGAAACCCTGAAAGGTGATTTAAATAATTTGGTACAGTTGTTGTCAAGTCAGGAGGCTACTTTAAACTAGTTATATAATGTTGCAATTTCTAAGATTAAATGAGAATATTCTTTTTATTGTTGAAAATAATACAAATCATGAGCTTTTCTTCCATTACCTACCCGACCCGAGAAACCCGAAACCGAACCTCAAAAAATCAGAACCGACCCGACCCGAAAAATTTTGGAACCGTGACAGCCCTAGACACCACACTGTCGATATCGTCGATATCGACATCAGATTAGGTCTTGGACATGTATGGACACAGACCCCACAGTACCCTCCTATGAGTGTTGACAATTTCATTAATAATGACGCTGGAGTACACTTTTACACTGGACTTGAAGCATTGGTTAAATTTTATTTTGTTTTGAGAACCCTAGGACCAGCTGCATATTGTTTAAATTATGTGTACCACAAAGTGTCAAATATTAATGTCCCAGACCAGTTTTTTATGGTTCTTTGTAAGTTGAGACGTCATACTACAAATTTTGAACTTTCAAGGCTTTTCAGTGTTTCCGAAAAAACAGTTTCAAATGTTTTCTTTACTTGGATTTTTTTTATGAGTAAACAATGGCAAGAAATTGATTTATGGCCTTCGAAACACCTTGTTAAGTATTTTTGTCCATCAGACTTCAGGGCTAAATTCCCAAACACAAGAGTGATCATAGATGGTACTGAATGCCCTATTAAAAGACCAAAATTACCAAAATCACAGCAGGCTACATTTTCAACCTATAAAAATCGCAATACTGTGAAGGTTTTAGTTGGAGCAACTCCTGGAGGACTAACGTCATACATTTCAACAGCATTTGAGGGATCAACAAGTGATCGCCAGATTGTGGAACGAAGTAACCTTTTAGATATCTGTAATTCTGGCGATTCCATCATGGCAGATAAAGGTTTCAATGTTCAGGATATATTTATTTATAAAAATATTCAAATTAATACGCCAACTTTTTTTCGAAAGAAAAATAGAATGTCCTGTGCTACAGTCATCAAAGACAGGAAAATATCCAGCAAACGTGTTCACATTGAACGAATTATTGGGCTTGCTAAAACCTATAAAATTTTAAGTGAACCGATGAATAGTTCTGAAACAAAACTTTCAACAGAAATAGTTTATTGTTGTTTTATGTTGTGCAATTTTAAAAACTGTTTTGTGCCATCTTATGCATGACTTGAAATGTCTTCAAATTCTGTAATTCTAATTGTAAATTTGTAGGAAAATAAAAAAGGAGACATTTGTATAGTCTGTAATCATTTATTACAATTACACTGCCCTTCATAGGTTTTATAAAATACTTTTTCAAGAAGAGCAG